CGGTTACCATATATGCAGTTCTGTGCGGCTGCAATGTCCATAAGAAAAAAAATTGGCTACAGAAGTATAGTTGTCATCTTGTACCAATTATCTGGACATACCTCTGACAATCTCTGGACCATTGTATTTACTCCTATACTTAACAGCGTTGCACCCAGGTAAACCAGGGAGTGACCCGAACAATCTGAGAACATGTATGTTATTTTCCACTTTTAACGTCAATACTTTTTAATTATATCTTAATATACTTTTTAACATATTGTGAAAACTAATGTGAATTGCTGGTCTTTGACCGTAATAAAGATTTATACTTATACTTACTGCAATTGAGTTTGGAGAGATTTACCTTGAGTCTGTATTGATTGTTTGCCCAGGTATTATTGAGATTGAAGCTGAGGAAGTCATTGACAGGTAAGACGGTGCAGCAGACAATTTTCTGTACTGTGCTTAGATCAAACTGCAGGCTGCGCAGTTCCAGATGATCCAAGGCCAAAATTTCTAGTCTGGTGGCATAGGGAGGTCTATTGTGAGTAGAAGAGCGGAGTACTCTCCTTGTGGAGCACCTTTGGACCCGCCCAATCGTACTAATGTCCGATGTAGTGTGGGTTCCAGGCAGATGAGCTGTATCCAAGAATTGGTCTGGCAAAGGTTTTGTATGCCCTAGTGTGCAATACAAGGTTACCGGAGAAGCTTCACAACAAAATTAGGTTAACAACTCTTAATGCCTTTCTGCCAATGCTGCTACAGTGAGCTCTGGGGCTTAGGCCATTTGAGATGAGGCCTCCTAGGTCCTTGACAGATTGAAGGTCGTCTACCAGGTCGTTTCAGTCCAACTTGCATTTGGTGTTCTTTTTTTGTTTTTTGCCAGTGGGTAGGACACTGCATTTATTAGTCGAGAGTTGGAGTTGCCAACTGCACCACCATTCAGACACATGAAGGTTTAGGTCATTTTGTAGGATAGTGAAATTGTCAGTGGTAGTGAATCATTTTACCTCATCAGCAAAGAGGACACATCTGCTTTTAATATGATCGCATAGGTCGTTAATGTGAATCAAAGCTCTGCCCTAGTCTTAATAGGGAAGGGGGCCCGTTGGGTAGAGACCATCCCATCCTGGATTGACTGACTGATCAGGGGGGAAAAGCCACCAGATGCTGCATGGATGACAGGCGCGGGCCTTTCGCCACGAGGTTGGAAAAGCTGCCAGAGGCAACACGCGAAGCGACTGGGGCTGGAACACGCCGGGCTCCCCGTCGCCTAAAGGCCGGCTGAGGCACCGTGGAAAGTCCGCCAGGGCTCTGCCTGCGGCTCCTCTCTATCGGCTGGGGCGTCAGCCCTATCCCCCGCTCTCCAGTTGACGCGCTCCGCTCTGGCGGGGTTGATGCTCCCGAGAAGGACACCCGGCGCCCCCTCCCCGCTCCTAGCACGGAGGATGCCCCTCCCGGGTTTGGCTCCCGAGGCGCCTGCAACAAAAGGAAGGCTCAGCTCAGCGCCCCCCCCCCAACTCGCCAAGGGCCCCGCAGGGGGGTGTCGGGGCGGAGCCGGGGCAGCCAAGGAGCTTTGGAGGGGGGGGGGGTTAGGCAGAACAGGAGCGGGTCAAGCGGGGCCGGGGGCCGGACGGGCACGGGAGGCAGGGAAAGGTCCGCGCCGCCCCCCTGCCGGTCAGAAGGGCCCTCCTGCGGGCCTGTCCCGAGGCGGGGGAAGAATCAGAGTCCCGACCGGCAGATCAGGCGGGCGCCCTCCGCTCGGGGCCGCGACCGGCGGCGGTAGGGTCGGCCAGGGGAGGGGGGGCGTGTGGAGGCGGGGCCGTGGGCGGCGGCTAGGCCAATCGGCGGCTCCCGCGCGCGGGCTCTGGCCGAAACTTTCTGGCGCTCACCTGGCCCGCCCCGCCGGGTAGGTAGGGGGCGGGCCGACGGGCGCGGATTGGTGGGCGGGCGGGAGGCGTGGCTAGGAGCCCGCCTGTGCCGCCATCTTGCCTGAAAACTTTTGGGCTCCCGGCGCCGCCCGCCCGCCCGCCCGGAGGGAGCCAGGAGGGTCGCCGACGGGGGAGGAGGGGAGGCAGCGGGGCCGGAGCGGCCGGAGCTCGCCATGCCCGTCAAGAGGCAAGGTGGGCCAGCGGGGGGGGGAGGCCGGGGCGGAGGGTGCCCGCCGTGCCTCTGGGCGCGTGCAGAGGGCGGGTGGCGGTGGAAGGGGGGAGGGGGCTCCGGCTGGGCTCTGACGGCTCCCTGCTTTCCGTCTCCCCCGTCGGCAGACACGCAGCGCGCCCTGCGGCTCCTGGAGGACTACCGCGCCAAGCTGAGCCCTCGGGAGGACCGGCAGCTGCGCAGCTCGGTGGAGCGGGTGATCGGCATCTTCCGGAGCAGCCTCTTCCAGGCCCTGCTCGGTAGGCGGCCCCCAGCAGCCCCCCTCCCCAGGCGGCGCTCGCGGGCGGCCTCCGTCCCTGCCCGGCTGCCCCGCCGGAGCCCCGCGCCCGGGCGCCCCGTGGGTGGCGTGGCCGGCGTCCCGGCCGGAGGGGGAAACTTCCCGGGAGCGGCGTTTTCCCTTCGGCCTCTCCGCCGGCGGAAGGGCTGCCCCGTGGCTGGGGACGGGAGCGGGGTTGCCGGGAGCGGCTGAGGTGGGGGCAGGGGAGGGGCGGCCTGTTCTGAGCGGCCCTCCGTTCACCCCCAGACATCCAGGAGTTCTACGAGGTGACTCTACTTGAGAACCCCCGAAGTGCCGATCGGCCGAAGCCGACTCAACCCGTCCAGCCCGGGGACACCTGGGACTTCCACAGTCCGCCAAGCGCCGGTCTGACTTCGGAGACCTTGCCCAGCAGCCAGACTGCCGACACCCAGGTGTGTAAACCCGTCCGGGGCTCCGCCTGGGTACCTTCTAGGGATGGCAAAGGAGGCGCTGGGGTAGGACGGGCCCTGCCCCCTTTGGGAAGCCCCCTTCTGGCAGGAGAATTTACTTTGCTTTTCCTGCCTCTGAACTTCTGGAAATGTTTCCGTTGGCTGTGCAACACTTGCAAATAAGTGTTATAGTAACAATTGATTAAAATGTTTTAACACGGGAAGCCTTTGAATCGGATCAAAAGGTGTAGAATCTATTCCAGAATTGCCTCGTTTGCAAATTGCACCCACATTACTGTTTCCCCAAACAGTCGTGGAAACCAAAGATGCCCCGGGATGTATCGGAAGATTTGGGGTGGACCCCTCCCCCCCTCCCCTGGAAGAAGTGGGTTGTCTGGAGGGGGCTGCTGGATCCCCTTTCAGAAGGGCGGCTTGAGTTCTGCTAGAAAAAAACCGCTGCTTGCTCTGGGTCTCTCTCTGCCTCAGGGAGCACCTGGGCTGTGTGCTCAGGGGAAGGGGGAGGGGGCTTTTCTATTGAGTCCTTGCATTGGTCAGGGGTGGGCAGGAGATGTTGAGTGCCCAGAGGAAATCACCCCCCTCCCAATAGATGGCAAGCCAGTGGCTGCCCCTTCTGAGGCAAAGGGCAGAGAGGACCTTCCTGTGGCCCTCCTCCAAAGACACCCACCCTTGGTTGGCAGTGTGAGGGGAGAGCCCAGGGCCCCACCCAAGGACCTGGAGGGATGCTCATTTAGCCTCTTCATCCTGCCTTTGGGTGCTGCCTCCTGCCTCCAATTCTCCACCGCCTTGAACAGCCAGTAGCCTGCGCTTGGGCGGGATCGGTGGGCGCAGGGAGATTTCCCACCGGAAGAGCAGTGGAGAAGCCAGAGGGGTTGGTCTCCCTTCGTAGTCAGTCATGCACGGTTCTGAAATGCCCACTGAGAGAAATGTAGCTGGTCTTCATTGAATTTCTTTTGTTGGGCCAGGAGAATCAAACCACAATTCTTTGTGCCCTTCTTTCGCCGCTAGGCATTTGGGGAGAAATGTCAACCTACCAACCTACCTACATGGTGCATGGTGTAAATGAGCTTTTGAACAGTTCCTGGTTTCTAGATAGGTGTGTCGGCATTGATGGTTAGCAATAGCACTTAAGACTTCTATACCTCTTCACGGGGCTTTTACAGCCCTCTCTAAGCGGTTTGCAGAGTCAGCATATCGCCCCCACAGTCTGGGTCCTCATTTCACCCACCTCGGAAGGACGGAAGGCTGAGTGAACCTTGAGCTTGGTGAGATTTGAACTGCCAAATTTCAGGCAGCCGTCAGTCAGCAGAAGTAGCCTGCAGTACTGCACTTTGACCACTGCGCCACTGTGGCTCATAGCGATAGGCAAGCATTTTCCTCACGCTCAAACTGAATTCTATAAGCTTAGTTTACTTTAATTGTTATGGACTGAGAGAATGGGACAAACCTGCCCACAGCATAATAATGTGCATTTATTGTTCTTTTTGGCAAAGTTGGTGTTTTTTGCCTCAACCCTTGAGCCGGGACGCAGGGGAGCAATTGTCACTTAAAGCTGAGAGAGAGGGAGGGATGGTGGGACCCCAGGCCCTTCGTGCTCTGCAGAGGAATCCTTGGAACCGGAAGCTGCTTCAAAGTGGCAGGAGGGACGTTCAAAAGTAAGTAAGACTTCGCAGAAAGAGTGGTGGACGCTTAGGGCCAACTTCCACTTGAGGCCGTGGTCAGGCATCAGTAACTACCTTTCGGGCTGCTTGGGATAAACACATGTCCGTCACCCAACCTTAAGCACATACTTGATGGACCGCTAGTTGCCATCAGTTGCCTATGTTTTTTTTTTTCTATGTTTCCGATGTTCTGGCAGAAATAGGCTGCCCTTGGCCCTGAATCCTCTGGAATACCACGGGATGCATCTGGTAGGAATTAACTTCTGGAAATTTGCCATCCCGTCCCAAAGTTGACAACGTTCCCCACAATTACAGCAAATTCTTATATGCTTACCAAAACTACATTTTTCAAATTTCCAATTTCTCTGATCCCAGCATAATTACTATTCACATCTAATCTTAACACTGTAAGGTTCAAGGCTTCTCTTTTCTGTTTATGCGGATACGTGTATATAAAGATGTACAATCGATGTAAGATGCATTATTTTTGGGGACTTTTAATTCTGGTTATAGTAACAGGAAGCCTCTCCTTTCAGCTATCCACAGCTGCTAAGCATTATTTAAGCCTAAAGGGATGGACATTTCAAGGGGGATGAATTGAGGCTTCCAGCTGTCCACCCCTCCTTTTAGCAATGGGGAGGGGGAGGATTATTCTTTGCTGTCCACGATTTGTGACACTTCCTCCTCCTCCTCCTCCTCCTCCTCCTCCTCCTCCTCCTTGAGGCTGAAAAAAGCCTCTGTCCCTCAGGTGTATCACCAGTTGGATTCCTTCAGGGAGCCCACTCTGGGGGGGGGGGGTGTAAGCAGACGACAGGGGCCAGGTGTAAGCTCTTTGGGGCCAGGAAAGTCTCTTGCTCTCCCTCCATTCTTTGGGGTGTTGATCTTCTATACCCCTTTCTTTTCTAGAGCCCTGTTTTGTGTAAAAACATCACTTCCTTATGGAATTGGCTTGGTAGCCAGTCTCTTTCTGTAATCCTCAAGTTCTTTTTCACACCCATTTTCACAATCCACTACATATCTTACAATGAAGCAACGGATGGAAACTAATCAAGGAGAGAGATAAGCAACCTAGAACTAAGAAATTTCCTGACAGTGAGAACAATTAATCAGTGGAAGAAGGGCTTGCCTCCAGAAGTTGTGAGTTCTCCATCACTGGACACTTTTAAGAAGAAACATAGAAAACATATAAAACATATAAAGAACGGTTGCAGGAATTGAGAGAATGTCTAGTTTAATAGAAAGAAGGACCAGGGGAGACATGATAGTAGTGTTCCAACATCTCAGGGGTTGCCCCAAAGAAGAGGCAGTCAAGCTATTCTCTAGGACACCTGAGGGCAGAACAAGAAGCAATGGGTGGAAACTAATCAAGGAGAGAAGCAACCTAGAACTAAGGAAAAAATTGCTGGCAGTTAGAACAATGAATCAGTGGAACAGAAGTTGCCTCCAGAAGTTGTGAATGCCCCAACACTGGAAGTCTTTAAGAAGATGCTGGATAGCCATTTGTCTGAAACAGAACAGGGTTTTCCTGCCTAGGCAGGGGGTTGGACTAGAAGACCTCCAAGGTCCCTTCCAACTCTGCTATTGTATTGTATTGTACTGTAATTGTATTAATGAAAAGCAGGACCAGGGGAGACAGGATAGCAGTCTTCCAATATCTCAGGGGTTGCCCCAAAGAAGAGGTTTGATTAATTATCAAGCTCTCTCCCT